AACCTTTTGCAGCTTTAAGTAAAAACAAAAAGACAAAGAGATGCATTTAACACAATGTCTGCACACTGAATTTAAATATACACGGTCTGTGTGTCTATGTGTGTCTGTTTCATGCAAGTGTGCACACTGGACACTGTAAGGTAGGTTGTGTTTGTGTGTAAAACAGTTCAGTCAGTCATACATACATACACACACACACACACACAGACACAGACACACACACACACACAGACTCTGCAGACCGGTTGTGACAGGTGGTCGCTCAGTAACAGGAGCCGACATCGACCAAAATAAACCACCAGAGTAGTAACTGTAAATAGAAAGTAACTGACTTTTCCTTTATTTTTTTTAATTTTTTTTTACATGAACTGACTTTCACTAGCACTGTTAGCCAACCTCTGTGGACAGCTAAAGTTGCGCTAATCACAATAAAAAGCGTGTTTTTCTTGGTAAAACTTGGTAATAATTAACCTACGTAAAGAAACAACATGGCACTGGGTTAACAAGGGGAGGATTTCTCTCACCTCGTCCAACGAAACCTTTAACTCGCCACATGGTTCGTCCTTTACAGCAGCTTTAAGTGAAGAAACCCATGTTTAGATTCATCGGTGGGGGGTCGTCCGCCCCCCATGAGAACCGACTGCCACAGATTCACTATTTACAGCAGCAGTAAATAAAGGCTGTCACGAGATGTGTCGGAAGCGTGCAACCCGGAAGTGTCTCAGGTGACGCAACTGAGTGTGAGAAGGTGGTTTAGAGCGTCACAGCACCACCGCGTGGTTTGGTGGGGAATGGCAGCCCGAGAGTGGCCAATGCCTAAAATATGACTTATATAATATAAGAGAAAAAATACTGCTATAAAATGTACCCCGAATTTGAATCAAAAGGCAGAAACTTCGCTTTTTACTGCGAGAAATCCCTCAAAAATGCAACAAAATCCATCTCTGACTTGAGAACAACTAGTGGAAACAAAGTTTAGAATAGAAGATAGTTATCTTTTGTTGTTGTTGCTTCTTTGTTTAAGTTATCGCAATAACATCAATGCTTATTGTTTTTATTTGTTTATTTAATGATTATTTCTTTCATACAAAATCACACCCACACAAATATAAGCATACACACAACAAGTTTTGAAAATTGTTTTTATGAAATATATTTATTCTGCTTCATTGATTCTTGATGCTCTCTGCTGCAGCATTGATGTTGTGCTGTTCATTCCAATAAAGCAATTTTGAAGTGTGTGTGTGTGAGAAAGAGAGAGGGAGAGAGAAAGAGAGAGAGAATGTGTGGGGTGTGGAGTTGTACTCTAAGTGAAGTTTCAGTAATTTCACTTCTATAACCAGGTTTTCATCAAATATTTAATAAAAAATAATAATAACAACAATAACAATAACGCCCTGAATATATTTCTGAAACACTGAACAGGAAAATGAAAAAAAAAAAATGATGATAGATAAAGATATGATAGGCTGTATATTATTTATTCATGAATGCAATCAGACATAGTGTGGTACCATGACATGAACTGGTGCATACATTTATATTTTGTATATTTTGTATTTATCTGAGGTTGTTTGTATGTATTTATTTGCATAAATTCGATTGTTGCATTTCTCCTGGGACTGGTGGCTGTTTAAATTTGTATGCGGTCAATATATTGTGTTATTAGATACTGTGTGCATACATATGAGAGTTTTTGGTTTATTGTTGATTGTGCGTCTGAATAATTCCACAAGGCATTGGTCATTATTTCATTAATTCACGTCCTTCATTCAGCACACAGTGGGTATACTATAGATGGATTCAAGTAGGCCAATCAAAATAAATAAACACATTAATAAAGATTTCCTACAAGAACTTCATTCTGGCAAATTTCACTTGCTTTGGCAACATGTTGTGTCTAAATTCCTGTTTGTGCGTCTTCAAACAGATTTTATTTTCTTCGTGCAAAGGGGATGATAACTGAGTGACACATTTATAGAGTGCTCCTAAGAAGGCAAACAAAATTATCATTATTTTAATTAAAAGCACAGGTGTTACAATGACATTAACAATGACTCTGTTCTATTCAAGTGTCCCAGTTAGTCACGACAGTGTGACAGTGAGCCATGCATGCACAATACCAGGACCCTGAAACAGACGCAGCTCAGTGGAATTCAATTATTAGTTACACCTCTGCTTTTTCTACTGTGACTTGTCAAAATGTCTTCCCTGAAAAAGGCCTATGACTCAGGGTTTATTCCAACATTACATCACATTTATGGAACAAGATGCAGGTATGAAAAGGTGTGAACCCAAAAAACACGATTTAAAACTTAAACAAATAAATAAAAATAATCAATTCAAATTATTAAATGATTTTAGATACTTTGTTTTTGTCTGGTCACATTTTTTTGAGAGGTGGTGTCAATATCTCTAACATCCTGGCTATTAGCTGGATATTTTCCTGATTTGTGTGCTGCAGGGTTTGAATTGCAACAAACAAACTAATGTAGACTATTCTTTTAAATACAGGCTCACTTGTACATTTGAGAAACAGGCAGCATAAATAGGTAACTGTATTTTTAAAATGCTATTCAAAAACAAGTACCTCAACATTAGATAGTTTCACATTGTAGCGATGTTAAAATATAAATGCTTGAAAGAATATGTATTGAATACCTCAATTTCTAAAGTCAATAATTCATACTCAATCACCTCACCGAGGGAAGCTACATTTTATTTTCAAATGAGGTTTTTACATGCTCATGAATAAGGCATAGAGACCACCAGGCTTTATGATGGTGTCTAATCAAAACCATTTTTAACCAATGTTTTGCCATTAATTCTTGCTTCTCTTGCAAACACAATTTCTCTGAGGGCACATAATCATCTATCTATAGATGAATAAAGGATTCACTCGTGGGTTCAGGGGTTGATTTAGTAAACGGTCCAGAGCTCATCAGTCACTCTGCTGGACGGTTTGGCTTTTCATTCCTCTGCCCATGGGTCAAACTGTGACGCACGCCCTGACACTTTCTGGAAACACACACTCTTCCAGTCAGATGGGGGCTTAACGAGGGGCTGGAGGGAGGAGATCTGCAGTTGTGAAGTCAGATTAAACTTGGAATAATTCATTTCTTGACCAGTTTCCATGGTGACACAGTCATCATGCCTTTCACTTACCGTCCTCCTCGGGCAAATAAGTCTAGCCTGCGGTAGTTTGTAATGTTAGCAAGATCTCTGCACTGCCAAATAATGTTTGCTGAGTCGCCTAGGGCCAAATTTGTCTGGGCAATATGGAAAACACGGCATTGAGTTGGAAACAGAGTCCCACAAGACTTGACTAATTGAGCAGTTTGTTTTTACTCATGTTTCAGTCTGTACTCGAGTTATCAAGTTTGAGAAATTTAAAGCGGGGAGGGCATGTAATAAGTGCTAAGCAATTTTTGAAATCTCATTTGCTGTTTTTTGCAACTTTTATACCATTTCTCTCCCATCACTGGAGTTTATAACTTTCTAGCTGCTCACAAACAATTTCTAGAGAGTGGGTGCAAACATAGTAATGGAGCTGGGTATTACTGAATGCATTGGTAGAAAATAACCAAGTTCATTTTCAAGCACTTTAGTGTCCCCTTCCACTCAAAGATGTTTTTCTTTTTGTTCCTGCAGTTGTTTGAGCTTCACTGTGCAGAATGATGTGCAGATTTTGACACTACATGTTTGTATGTAGCTGCTAAAAGTGGAAAGTCTCTCTGTGCTCATTGAAAAGCTGATTTTAATGGTCGGGGCCAACAAGCATGATTTGTGAAATTACAAGTAGTTTGGAAGTCAATTCTGATCCAGTATGCAACATCAAAGTGTGATGCAGAAACTTGAAGCCACCAGTGCATGTACACTGAGAATGGACTTTACAGTGAAGTAGGAGACATCTTGTGTCCAGCAGGAAAACTTTAGAAATAACATAATTTGCATATTTATAATGACTTAAAAGGAATAGATTACCCTTTTAGGTTTTTAAAGTGGAAATTATATTTTTTTGTGAAATAAATTGTCTGTTCCAAGCAGACAATTTGTCTTATTGCATGTCTGGAGGGGATCTTTAAGTACATCTTTGAGATACTATGCTACTTTTTCTCTTTGCTACTAGCTATTACTAGTTTTTTGTTTTTTTTTTACAAAAAATACAATGCATTGTTAGACTAAAGACTAAACCAGTGTTTCCAAACCGTTTTAGCTTGTGAACTATAACTGAAAAGCAGTGTTTCCTCATGTTTCAGATGCCTAAGTATCTGCACATTTGAATACATTTTGAATAGAAAAAAGAAAACTCCCACACACTCTCGCTTATGTTGTAAATTAATAAATAGCCCAGCAGTAATTGACAGTGTGCAGATATCAGACTTGTTAGCTGTTACTCTGGAGCAATTTCCTCTTTAAAGTCGAGGCCCAAAGAGGAAAAATGATCAAATACTTCACAGATTAGAGAAAACTCCAAAAAAACAAATACCCTTTTTAATGTTTTTTCTTGCTAGCTCCTCTTAATTTTCCCCCATTGATAAGCTCACAACAATTTTTTCCGCATGTTAAGTACCTTAACTTTGAGTACCTTAAGTATGTTTTGCTAATAATGGAAGACTTCTACTTGTGAAAGGGTATTTTTCCAATGTCACTTTTAACTAAGTTTAAGTTGAGCACTTCTTCCTCCACTGATTGGAGGGTTTTTTATCCCAAGTATTGTTGCAAGCTCCCCCCTTCACACAAACACCGCACGCTCACTGCTGCGATACACCCCTCCACTCCCTTCACCCTGACCTCTGGAATCTCAAGCCCTCGTACTTCTCATTCAGAGGAAGGGGAGGGAGGGCAGACATCGATGGACGTGCGTCGGAACCCAACTGGATGCCCCGTTTGTTTTGTTAGCTGTGTGTGCTGGTGTGAGGATGGTTTCCAGGATGTGTGTTTGTGTGTGTGTGTGTGTGTGGGGGGGGGGTTGCGATGTGTATCTTTGTCATATCAAAGGCCTTGACCATCTACATTCACACAATCTGTGGACGTGGAACTGAGGATTACTGAGGATTTGTACAAAGCAGAGTGAGCCTCAGGCAAAGATTTTGTTTGTCTGCCTGTAGCCCTTCAGATAGAGAAAACATGACCTGTGTTGTAGTAAAGAAATGACTCTCTATACATCTGTGCAATCCAAGGCCATAGCAGCAAATCCTTCAAACCTCAAACAGCTTGAAGGGGGAGAAAGAGAGAGAGAGAGAGAGAGAGAGAGAGAGAGAGAGAGAGAGAGAGAGAGAGAGAGTTGAATTTGTGTACTAAATTAAGTGAAGGGGGCGGGGGATTTAAAGAAAAGGCACAGGGGGGTGTTTCTTGCCCCTCTCTCCCCCTTTCTCTCTCCCTGCCGGTCTCCTTGGTCACACACATGCACACATCCTCACACACTCACAAACACTGACGAGGGCTCAGTCTTGCTATGGCCACCACCACCACCGAGGAGAGCTCTCCGGTCCCGGCCACCATAGCACCCCAGCAGCCTGACTTGGAAACTAGTGTAGAACCCGGCTCAGCAGCAAAGCCTGAGCCCAGCGAGGCCCAGCGTGACAGAGAGGAAAAAGAGGATGAGGAGGAGGAGGAAGGGGGGCCCGGGCAGGAAAACACAAGAGGGCAGACTTTGGACCCGGAGTGGGTGGAAGAGAGGTTCAGGATCGACAGGAAGAAGCTGGAGAACATGTTGTATGGTGAGTGAGCTGAGCTGTTAAATATCATTCACCTGAACTCGACTATCTGCCGATTCTGTTTTTGATGCCCATCATGGCCTCCCTGTGTGCTCCTCCTCACAAGCCTCTGTCATCTACCTAACCCCAGTGGGTCTGTCAAGGCCTTCAACTGGCTGCGCCCTTGTTGTCACCATCAGTATCCACTAAACTCCTGTTGCTGTATCATCATGATTTATGAGCTGCAATGGCTTATGCATTCACAAGTCTTTTTTGCTATTATCATTCCTATCTTGGAAGCAGAGGTAGCTGCCACTATTAGTTATCGCTGCCTGGCAGGATTATGACAAATGCCTCCCCTGTGTTATTGGGGAAATTCTTTCTGACACTGTGCTCCAGCTGCAGAGAGAGGCTGATGTTCGTCTGTTGTCTGTCCTTACACAGACTCTTGATGGGAAAGCTTGAACCCTGATAACTGTGTGTTGTTTTATTGTGGGTGCAGGAGGGACTGGGCTTTTGCAGCTGTTTGAGCATCCTTCAGTCAGGCAGTAAATATTGTATCTCATCCCTTTAGGTGATAATCTGTCAGACTGCAATTGAGGCTTCACTCTGAGGAGTGCTCTGCTTTTTTCTTCTTCACACATTCCATCTTGATTTTGCAGTTGTTATTTAATTTTTTGGTCAAGTGGGAGGTCTTTGCGTCAGCAAATGCCATTGATGTGATTAGCTGTCTCTAGGCTAATTTGTGGTTGCCCCCCCCAACCACCACCTTCTCTCTCCGCCCCATACTGTTCTCTTCCCATTCCTCAGCTCTGGCCAGCGTAACCCGTAGTGATGAGGGGGGTTGAAGGCGTTCCTGAGTCCCCCCCCGTACCCTGTAAATGTCACTGCGGAGCGATGGCCTTTTAAAATTGTTTATGTTCCCGGCAATCTCTTGTTCCAGTTGCTTGGCAAATTTCAGCCAAGTCAACATTCAAATGTTGACTCTACACACATGCTTGATATTGAACACTTGTGCTATAAACAGAGGAATATTGTCCTGCTGACCAACAAAACGTGATAAATCACACTGTAGGAATTCTAAAATGTGTGCTTATCTTTATCTGTTCTTTATGTTTGCTTGCTATGTGTCTTTCAGCTCCAAAGCATGGAGATGGTGAGACAGGAGAGGAGTTTTTTGAGAGAGTAAGTAGAACCCCATACTGGGAAACATTTACTTCATGAACCAAAATCTGAAAAAGAAAAAGAGAATTTAGCAGCTCTCCTCAGTGAAAGCCACAGATAATCATCAGTGCATGAAGTCTCCCGTTTAAATGTAGTTTACAGATCAGCAAGAGCATCCCTGCCACCATTTAAAGATTTGTTCCATACTCTGCATCTAATGATTACTGGTTTTATGGAGGTGATAATTGCAGTCTTTCAAATGCAAATGAGGCTTTGTATTCTTAGATCGAAGAGATCTGTGTGTTTTTGGATGTTTTTATGTGTGTGTTCTGGTTGTATGTGTGTCTTTAGGTGGCATACAATGACAGCTCTGTCTTTATTTCTCACCCTTTCCTATTGTTTGTGCCTCCACAGGTGATGAGAGAAACTGACACTCAGGTGAAGTGGCCATCCAAGCTGAAGATTGGAGCCAAGTCAAAGAAAGGTGACAAATTCTTGATATTTCAGTCACACCCTGTCACTGCTCTGTGTTTCATCTCCTTCCTGTTGCATGTTTCCACAAATTGATTTACCATTACACATTTACTGTAACATACTCATATGTATATCATTTAAACTTAACTCATATTTCCATCTAGATCCACATGTGAAGGTGGAAGGGAAGAAAGACAATGTTTTGGAAGCCAAAAAGAAGATACTAGAGGTGTTGGAAACCAGGGTACGGACTGTATTTTCACAATTTTTCTGAACAATTATGTCAAGAATAAATAGATGAAGACCTGTTTTTACATGTTTTCTGCTTTGCCACTACTTCCCTTTAAATTTATTGGAAGATATTAAAGTTTAACTTGTAGGAGAGAGAGACTTTTTATGTTGAATCTGCCTTCATGGACATCTGATGGCATCTAAGTATTGAAAAGTAATCTTCACAAATGACACCACTGTTTCTATAAAATCCAGGTGAACAAGGTGACTCTAAAGATGGACGTGGCCTATACAGAGCACTCCCACGTGATTGGGAAAGGTGGTGGAAACATCAAAAAGGTGATGGAGGTAACATCCTGTCACATCCACTTCCCCGACTCCAATCGCCACAACGCTACAGGAGAGAAAAGCAACCAGGTAACACTAATCAAGGCAGTTATGTTGATAATCACGGAACTGAAATCAACCTTATTTAAAAAAAACATTTCTTTTTTCAACTTTTACCAGGTCTCCATTGCTGGGCCCATAGAAGGAGTGGAGGCAGCCAGGAGGAGGATAAGAGTAAGTGGTCAATCTGAACTGAGACTACCCAGGATAGATTTTTTTTTTTGTCTCAAAACTCAATTTCTTCCCTCCTGTCAAAACAAAGCGATCAATAGAATGATTAATAGAATGGCTGACATAAAGAAGACAGGTATATTTGTCAAAAAGCTGCTGTCTGTCTTTCTTCGTCACATCTCTATATTTGCCCCGCGGCTCTCCATCACACTCTGTCCATTGTTTTACATCTAATCTTCCTCGATTTAGGACCTGCAGCCGTTGTCCTTGACCTTTGACCTCCCTGTCAGTATGGTGCCCCAGACTCTGCCAGATGCAGGCTCCCCACTCATCCAGCAGGTAGTGCAGACTTTGGGGGTCAGTGTGAGCTTCAGGGCAGTGCCTCCCCACCCTCAGGCACAACCCACCTTCTATGAAAGCTGCTGCACCGTCTGGGGCCTGCAGGGAAATGCAGCTGCTGTCAAGGTTAGTGTCCAACATTTCAGGGAGGAATTTAAAGGTCCAGTGTGAAACATTTAGGGGGCTTCTTTGGAAGAAATGGAATATCATAACGATGTTTTCATTTTTGTATATTAACTTGAATGTTACATTACATTGTTTTCGTCACCTTACAATAAGCCGTTTATATCTACAGAGGTGTGTGTCGCCTTCCAAGGAGGCGTTTTTTATGCGAGTTTAGTGGCAACTGTAGTTTTTGGATGAAGTTGCTATCTGCAAATACACCACTAGATGTCACAAAATCCTACACAATGGTCCTTTAATCCAGTTCATACATATTAGAATACATTCTAATTAACGTATATCACATAATATCATGTCAGAAGGCGACCTGCATCCTGATGGACCTGCTGCTGGGGTCAGAGGTCACAGGCGGTATAGTGAGCAGCCAGCTGGATGTCACCTCCCAGCAGCATGTCTTCCTGTTGGGGCAGAACGGAGCTCACTTCCTGAGTGTCATGCACCAGACCCAGACCCAGATCATCTTACCAGACCTCAGTGCTCCTCAGAGCCCTCCCTCCCTGCTGATCCAGGGCAACCCTGACGGAGTGTGTCTGGCTCGGCAGCAGCTCATGGTAAAGTGTGGTGTTGTTGTTTTTGTTCAGGTATTATCCTGAGAGGTTTTTTTTTTTTTTCTTTTTCATTAATGCTTCTTGTGTTACTGTGTGATCTGTGTATCTTCCTTTGCTGCTGTAACAACAAAAAAGATTTCTTTATCTGTTGTTATTTTACATTCTGTGTGATATGTGTCTTTGTGTGCACATCTAGGACTGTCTGCCTGTGTGTTTGATGTTTGACATGCGTGAGGATGGGGAGGCAGATCCTTGTAAGCTGGCTCAGATGATGCAAAACCTGGGAGTCTTCATTAGTGTCAAGCCCAAAGTAAAACAGACCAGCAAGGTACAACGTTATCAATGTAGCTTTGCTGCTTTGTTATTGTTAGAATCGCTCCCATCTGAGGAATAAACGGTAATTGTGTTGTTTTGTCGGCTACCAGTTCCATCTGTTTCAATTCACTTTCAATCTAGGACTATGCTGTAGAGTGTTGCGATTGCTTATTTCATGTGTACTGGATTAAATAAGAAATGTCTATTGAAGTATTTTTTGAATGTTCACTTACATTTTGGATGAAAGACTGCTCTGCCCTGTCGTCTCACATGCTGTCGTGCTTAGAATACTGATGTAAAATCTGTATTGGTGTATATTTATCAGTCAGTGGTGGTGAAAGGTCTGGAAAGGAACATCTCCTGTCTTTATGAGGCCCGCTGTCTGCTTCTCGGGTTGGATTCCTGTGAGACTGCCAAGGTAACCGAGATGACCCCTGACCCCATGTTAGCTGGCAGCGGGCTGACTAGCTACTGGCTCAACATGTTGCTGCAGCAGCTTCGTCTCTCTGAGCAGGGTGAGCATGCACACACATTTATATATATTTATCCATTGAAGAGTGTTTCTGTGTTTAGAACTCTAAAAAGGGAAAAACAAGAATATGTAACTTCTGCTTCACACCCAATGCTGCATGTATGTTACGTACATATTATCTGGTGGCTTCAGTGTTTTTGTTTCAGGGTTTTCTGGTGAAGGAGAAATGTGTATGTATTTATGTTTTCCTGTTTTATTCAGTAGTATAAACTAATCTGATCTTTTACTCACTGTCATGATTTCAGGCTCTTTTCCTGGTCTCACTCCAGAGGTGCTGAATGGTACCAAGCCCCGTCCCTCCCCTCCACCAGGTCTCACCCCTCCCGCTGACGAGGGGAGGACAGGACTGAAGGGAGCAGACAGCCGGCCACTGGAGAAGGTTTGTCAACGTTTATGGTCAAACTGCTAAGTACAAAACAAATCCTTCTTGACAGATCAATAGAAAACAAAACCAAGCACTGAATTATCTCCTCTTATTCAGATCCTAGAAAATGAGGACCTGTCTGGCCAATCGGACGATGAGAGCTCTAAGGTTGTGATGATGTCATCATCTGAGATGTGTGATGCAGTCAGCAGCGTCAGCAGGGTGGGATTCATGGGTCGCAGGGGGAGTCTCCAGGGTCCTGAAATTACCAAGGTTTTTGTCCAGGGCAGACGGCATTCAACAGGGCAGGCGCTAACATACAGGTGAGCATTCACAGACACAAACACTTGTTTTTGTCTCCTGTGAGGGCACTGCACTGGCCTACATTAATGCCCTGATGAAGTGTAAGTCATAACCACAGCATATATCGTTGACCTTGTGGGGACCAAGGTTTTGTCCCCAGATGAAAAATGAGTCCTCACACTGACCAGGAGCAGATTTTTGCCCCCTACAGTGTGATTAATACAAACACACACCTGCATGTGCCAGATCTGTCAAGAATCTACAACAACAACAGAAAACCAAGTTAGAGAACAGACAGCTTGTCGACTTAATCTATATTTTGCATTTTGCTGAGTCCTGTTGTGGTTTCTGTGGTTCTGGATAAAAAAACCCTTAGTAATACTGTGCGATCCATAATTATACAGCATCATGACACTGTCTTTGATATCCTCCTATAGTATTGCTGCTGTTGCTCCTGGGAGAAAAAGAGCTCAGTCATAAGCTTTCAAATGTTGCACATAGCCATCACAATTTCACCTTTCTATCTGTGTGATCTGTGTGTGTGTATGTGTGTGTGTGTCTGTGTGTCTCCTGAATGTGCCAGATTGCAGAACGCAGAGATTGAGGGAGGGAGGAGTGAGCGGAGGAACAGCCTGAGGAGAGACATGATGCCGGCTCAGGGTGTTCGCGCTGACTCATCCAAGGCTGAGGTGAGGAAAAACAGGAATTGTAGGTCTCTTTTTTTGCCCCCACAAAAATGATGCATTGCATCTATGGACAACCTTATTTGGCTACAACTAAATGTCAGTGGAAAGACAATCAAGTCTTTTTAAATCCCTGAAAGACTTGACACTGAAAGTATAGTAAAAAGTAATGTTTTAGAGATAATTACAAGTAGAGGAGGCGGGTGTATGAGAGAGATAAAGAGCAGAATATTTACAATAAGCTACAGATAGACAGAAAACACTAGGAATATTTTATTTGTGATGTTATTCTATCTATTTATTGTCATATCCCTGACCCCGGTGTCATTTAATTTTGTGAATCGATGTTTTTTGTTGTTTGCTTCCCTTCGAATTTGTCATCTCCCACTCTCAGAGGTTACTGCATAGAGGATTAACATGTTTACTGCCACAGCAGCAGGATGTGTTAGGTTCCCAGTGCCTGTCCTCAGTAACCATAGAAAAAAAATCAATTTCATGCATTATTTACCCACTCTGTTTCCTATTTGTGCTTTGTAGGATTATGACTATGAAAAGAAGAAACTGCTGGCGACCAGAGGTTAGTGCTCCTAAATGTTTAATATTTTTTCCTGTCTTACTGTGGTTTTCAGGAGTTCTGCACAGGCTTCTGCAGCAACAATTAAGGCACTGCTAAGCAAGTAGTTCTTTTTTTATTGATCTTAAGTTGCTGTATACTGCAGATAAATATATATATTAAAAACACATTTGGCAGGAGAATTAGGTCCAAAAATCTTACTGCATATTGTTGTTTTGCTTGTCAAACAGCCACTTATATACAACCAAGCTGTTGTTTCTGGAGCTGAATGGGACACACAGTGGAAAAGTACTATAAGTCAGCTCCTCTAAATCAACAGAATTATTTTGTTTTCTGTAAAAGTGCACAAGTTTTGGTCTTTATGTTGTTAGAACATGATTTAATGTCATATGATTATCTAGGATGAAGTAGCCCTTTTAGTTTATTCAAGCACATTATGGAGAGAACACATTAATATCCTGAGAAGAGGCAGAGACTTGATAGAGGGGGCCCATTTCAGTGCTGCTCACTGCCAAGACAACTGATGAAGGGGACCTGTTTATGGGCTGCACTGTGCCAAAGTTATAATAGAGTAGCACAGGCACTCCCACTTAATTCACATGGGGCAGATACACAATGCAGACAACACACACATGCGTCCAGACACAGTGTGCACTCTGATATGCCCACGTGTACACACACACACACACACACACACACACACACACACACACACACACACACACACACACACACACACACACAGAGAGAGAGAGGAAACACCACCTCATCCATCATGCAGAATGAGAGATACTGGGAAGATCTGCAGCCAAATGGTACTAAATTCCCTCAGTGTTGCTTTATGGGATTATGAATTAGCAGTTTGAATGGGCCATCTGCCTCACAGTCATTAAGACACCCATATGCCAGTATATGAATGGGACATTTACTCACACAAACACACACATATGCACACTAATGACAACCCACTACTTATAATCCTATTGATATCGTACTCTTTGGATCGCTGTTACGGTTTTTATCACACATTCACGCATGGATCGTGTTCCAGTGCCAAAAGTGGCCCGGGGTCACCTGTTTGTCATTTCGGTGTGTGTATCTGTCTCAGCAATTTGAGTTTTATTAAGTTTGCCACATGCTGGCAAGAAGAAGCACGGTTTGTGAATCATTATTTAACACCTGAACCCAGCTTGTCCAATTCACAATATCAGAGGAGACATGCAAAACCTGCAATGCATTTTCATGATGGACAGACTGGGGCTATATGCCCTGTTGTCAGCTACATCAATGTGCTATAATCCATATTTCTAAATTAACAATGGTTCAAATTGACTGTGTATTGGTGAAAGGTGTCGCTCGCAATGACAAACTCACAGAGAATTACCACTTGAATCTGTTGTTCCTCTTAGCACAACATATCTTGTTAGTGTCTTTTTAGCTCATTGTTTTGGTTTTATGTAACTTTATTTAACACTCACTGCTCTCATCATTGTATGCTTCCTGCCCACCACTAAACTGCAGGCAAATAAAGTAACTAGCTGATCAACTGAACCGAACATTTAGCAGCTATAAGACTGGATTTGCATTTAACAAGTGCACAGGAGCACAAATCTAAAATGAATGCTAATATCACTCTGCATACGCTCATGTAAATCAGCAAATGTTTGCTAACACATGAGGTGATATTTCTTTGTTGTGTTTCTTGCCACTAAGAAATCTGTTTATGCAGCTTTTATGTTGATATTTACCCTCTGTGTGTGTTTGTATGTGTAATGTCAGCCATGCAAAGGAAGCCTGTGGTCACAGAGGTCCGGACGCCCACAGACACCTGGAGTGGCCTTGGTTTCTCCAAGTCCATGCCAGCTGAAGCGGTCAAAGAGCTGCGCAACATCAGCCGACGCAGCTACAAACCCTACCTAAGCACCATTAACAGCCAGCATCAGGTACAACTAACTAATCAATGTCTGCTTTAACAAACTAAAATAAAATCAACTTCCAATTTACCATGGATCAGGTTGATTGTTAATTTTAATTTGAGCTGACTTGATTATATACTTTTGCTGAACTTTTATTAATTCTTTTAAACTGCCAAAGCAGTTTTTTGTTGCATTGCGGTAAAACAAGCACCCCTACTGCATCCCTACCAACACAGTCTCATTTATTGGTATTGCCCTCTAACAGTTTAAGGCATTTATCTCACTGTGTGGTAAGTACTACCAATTTGTACGCTCAATTACCTGGGGTCTGATACTATCGCCTCAGTCAACACACTCAGCAACCAGTTTACCTGAGCTGTTTCAGTTTATCTCCCTCTCTTAAAAAGGATCCTGACCGGCTGCTCTCTGACTGCTCAGTAGCCAGTGATGGAGAAGCAGACTCACTTAGGTTAATAAGAGCAAGAGGCATTCCTTTGGTGTGTTCAATTTTCTTATGAGATCCAGGCAGCTGGGAGGAAGCATACACTATGCCCACTGCATTGATAATTTCCAGTGAGAGAGGGCTGCTATCACAGGTCAGCCAAGAGGGGGAAATGAGCTAGAAACATAATTAATCACCTTCTTTATTAAATCTTTGGATCTATGCACATTATGTCCACTGAAACCTTCGGCACACAGGAGAATTTGTGATCACTTGTAACTGTTTGTCTCATGACCTCTAGCACTGACAAAGAGAAGAGAGATGAAAGAGGGGGAGTGACAGAAGTACAAGCTGCTAATGTGAACTGTTTGCAGATCAAAGAAACACTAGTTCATTTTAAATATCCTCACAATGTCTCTGTTTCTCTTACTAGTCATGGACTGCTCAGACAGGGAAGGTGTATAATGGGAGCAACTCTGAGAACTGGAGGGACAGACGGGCATCCACATCGTCATCTATGCCTGTCTCTTCCTCCTCCTCATCCTCCTCTTCCTCCTCCTCCCCTTCCTCACCGCCATGTACTTTCTCCTCATCCACCTCCTCCTTCCCTGCATTTGCACCCTCAGTGAATAGGAGCAGAAATGACAAACCCTGTAAGTCTGACTCGTCTGTTTTTTAAGCTCGACAAAACAAAGCGGGCCACTTAATCTCTGCCACTTTGTCACCTTTTCCTCTGATGTCTAGTGGAGAGCTTCTCGAGCAGCAGCAGCTACTTTGAAGGTGTGTGCTCATCGAGGAGGGCGTCAACCTGCAGCCAGCGGAGCCCCTCACCCCAAATGACAGACGACCTGCTTGAGCTGCTCAGTCAACTCGGCCTAATTAAATACATCGATGTGTTTGAACAACAAGAGGTAAACATATGCAGATTCTTGCAATGAATCCTTTTTCTGTGTGCAAACATTTGCAATACCCTGGTATTAAGTTGGGTTGGCTGCGTGGGAGAACTTGCTGCAGAGGAACACAGATACACACAAACAAACTAGCTCACACACTCTCATCCCCCCAGCCAAAACTGTTCTGCATTATGAATGAGCATCATGATGCAACTGCTGTCTGTGCTCATCCAGATTGACTACCAGACATTCCTCACTCTGTCTGATGAAGATCTGAAGGAAGTGGGTGTCTCCACCTTTGGAGCCAGACGCAAGATGTTATTGGCAATCTCAGGTGAGAATCTTACGTCCTATAGATTGGACTCAGTTCTTCTTCTCCATCTGGTAACGTGGTAGGTGGCACTTGCCTCCTCTTGTGAAAATGATTAAGTTATTTATCTTCCTATCTAGACTTGAACAAGAGCAAGAGGAGGCTCTCAGATACACCCGCAGTGAAGCCTGGCTATCTGGAAGGCGGCGCAAGTGGTCGTCTACCCCGAATCATGGATCTGGAAGTTGCTGCTCAGAGTAATCGCTGGTGAAAGGAAACACCGAGCAGCTCTGAGCTCCATCTGACCGACGTGGAGCTATTCAGCCTCTAAAAACGTATACAGTGATGCTGTTGCCAGTGCAGAGGTCTAATCTGCTTGTTATTTACCATAAACGGATAAGCATGAGGTTGCCCTGAAGAGGAGCAAACATTATGTAAACATTTGAATCCAGTGCCTTTATGTCACAGCCATACCCCAAAGCGTTAATACAAAATCAAGACAAGGAGGTCTTCCTTTCCAAACCTCTGATTCTATGGGAAAAAATCTGTATGAAACACAAAGAAACGTGGGACCATGTTGATGTCTTTTGTCATCTTAAAGTGCCTTCCTTATGCAAACTATCACTCCTATGCTTCGATCATGTGTCCATGTTAACCACTACATTTATGCAATTGTAAATAGATATTTACAAAAAAAATTACATTTTACAATGATGATAGAGACAATGAATAAAATGTTGCTATTAAAGTTTTTCCATCTAGATTGTATGTACACTTTTATTCGAGAGTTGACCAGAAGGGGAGGGAGAGAGGAAAATGGTGAATGAAATGCAAAAAAATGTCCACAGCCAGACTCAGACTCATACCAGGGGAACTCCAATTATATGGTCAGTGCCTTAAACCCCTTAAGCCACCAGGGCACCCCTCAGAGCACCATTTTTCATTCAAAACCATATGTAACCTTCTGCAGCGTGAACTGGTCTTCTACTCAAAGAGGGACTAGACCACCAGGGGGCACTGGTGTCACACACTGTCTTTAGAAATTCAAGTCACATTTGTGTTCCAGGAAAAATAATGGATTTGTTTCAGGAAGAAACACAGTGGCAACAGCATTAGGGCTCCTGGTGGACAAGGTGAAGTTGGCTTTGAAACATACAGTAGCAACAATCAGATAAAGAAAAGAAATTAATTAGAAAAGCCAAATAGGTAAATACATTTATTGGTGTGAGAGTAATGTGACACTCCTTTTAATGTGGTTCGGTCTCGCCTGACTGCTCACCTGAAAGTTCCAATTTAATTTATCACTGTTGCTAGGAGTGAAGCCACTGGAACCGTTTATGAGTAGTTTTTTGTTTAATTTATTTAGCAGAGGGCTACACCCAGCAATTTAGTGCTAGCAGAGGGACCTCACTGGCAGAGTATTAACGAGAACGGTATAATCTCTCCCTGAATTTGCAAATTTGGAATAGTGTTGTTGGTTACCACATTGAAGCGAATGATCCAAGAAACCTCCACCGGGGGGCATGAGGGGGTCTGATCCATTCAGACGCTCTGCAAGCTGGATGGTGCAGTGGCAGCTAAGCATGAAAGAGAGTATGAGTGGAAGTGGTGGGCTGTGACAGATTAGAGAGAGATGATCCCTGCTTATTACAATGTCTCTGCCAATTACATAGGCAGGCTTTAGACCAGTGATCCTCAAAGCTGGTCCTTGGGCCCTGGAGCACTGCTGGATTTCTATTCTGTCAGGTAGTTAATTGTACTCTCCTGTGGTAGCGGGTCTAACCGGTTCTTGATCACACAGCTAGAATGAAAACTACCTGGAAGAGCCAGCAGCTGTCTGGACCCTGAGGACTTTGGAGAGCCACTTGGACTTTTCACCTGCTAAAGTGGCTATCTTGACACATGGCTCAGTTACAGAGTATGCTAAATGAACATGTGAGCAAACTCCATTTGCAGCCTGGTCTTTTTATTTAAAAGTCCAGTGTCTAGCAGGATCTATTGGCAGAAATTAAATGTGATATTCATAGGTATGTTTTCATTACTGTATAATCACCTGAATATTGGAATTATTGTGTTACCTTAGAATAAGACGTTTTTATCTATGGTTATCTTCCATGAAGTCTGCCGTGTCAAACGGCCATGTTTCTACAGTAGTCCAGAAGGGACAAACCAAGCACTGGCTCTAGATAGGCTAATGACTATATGGTAAACAAAGTAGAGTATTTAGTATCTAAAGAACCAAATATTTGCCTTAAAAAATAGTGGAGTTAATAGGAGAGTGAATATAGGAGATTTGTCAGGTGGATACTCCAAATAAATGGTAATGTTGATGTGAAAATCATCCCACCTCAAAACCATAACCGACCCACCCCTGGACCCTGTGCAGATCGCCTGCAAAGCCAACAGGTCTGTAGATGAAGCAGTAAACGTTATGATGGATACCATCATAACCCAGGACCTCACCAACAAGGCACAACAGAGGATGTACTTCCTGTGGTAGCTGAGCAATTCAGCCTGCCAAAGACGATGATGGTGCTTCTACATCACCATCACTGAGTCCATCCTCACCTCCTCCATCACCATCTGGTACGGTGCTGCCACTGCCAAGGACAAGAGCAGACTGCAGCGTATCATTTGCTCCTCTGAGAAGGTGATCGGCTGCAATCTGCCATCCCTCCAGGACCTGTACGCCTCCAGGACCCTGAGGTGTGCAGGTAAGATTGTGGCTGACCCCTCCCACCCCAGACACAAACTCTTTGACACACTTCCCTCTGGCAGGAGGCTGCACAGAACCAAGACCTCCCGCCACAAGAACAGTTATTTCCCATCTGCAATTGATCAACAAGTCCCAGGACCCCCACTGACACTGACTCTTAAACCCACCACGCACCCTGAATCTATTTGTTACATTAATGCACTTTGTTTGGTTTTTATCTTATTGGTTAATATTATTATATGTCACACTGCTAATTTGCACATTCCGTAAACAGTATTTTGCATGTTCCTGCAACTGTATGGCTCCTTATTAATTTATTTAAATAACAGTTTTATTGTCTGTAAATATTGTCTCTCTTTTTATATTTGTATTTATTGTTCTTTCTTTTTATCTATCTATCTATCCATTATCTCTATATTTATCTTTATATTTTTCTTTGTTTATTGTAATGCACCAATTTACCAAGGCAAATTCATTGTATGTGAAAACCTGCACATCTTCTATCTTTTATGCACTTTGTCATGGGCCACACTAATCATTAAGAGCAAACATCTCACTTTAAAAGGCACACTTCACCAAGTCGCGCACCCTTTTGTCCGAATAAAGACCACCAACTGCGTAAACCCCCACACTCGAAGCCAATCACCAGTCTCCATGGAGACCCCGGGCCGATGGGAGGAGCCACCTGACAGGGAAACCATCTGTGGATAATAAAATAGCAGCCAGAAAAATGAAACGGAGTAACAAAGTGCCCTGAGGATAAAACACAACCACGCATCTCCCTCACTGAGATGAAGATGGAACTCACTCCAGGAGAGTGAGTTGGAGAGTGGAGGGAAATAGAAACAATAAAGCATGCATGTGAGAGTGCTGGTGCGTAATAGATGTGCCTTGTGGTGACTGAAGTTAGGAGGAAAAATAAACTGCCATTAAAAATATGTGAATTTGAATATATGCACCTCATTCTCAGCCCCATGATCCCTTACATGAATTATAAGTCTTTCACTGAACTAGCAGAAATATGGAGAAATAAATGATGTGGGAACACAGTCTGTCACGCCTTCTTTAACCAAAGATAGGGAGGATGACCTGAAGAAGTGGCCTTAGTATAATGTACAGTAGCATATTTAGCTACTTTATTGATTCTGTTGCAACAGTGAAGTGATGTATTTATGGCTGTATATAGCCAGACCGTTTTATTAAGAGAGGTGGAACAAAACCTTGTCTTTCTCAAAGCATACATAGAGCCAAGTCAGTGCCTGAAATTCACTTGTCACCACATAATTTGGCTAATGTTGAGCTAAGTTAGTCTGTGTGTGCTACTGCTATCCAAGGCCACTTCTCAGGTCTCCCTTTCTTTGATAAGGCTTAACAAAAGCCACAGATCTGATCAATTATCCCTTTTAAAGAAAATGTTGGACATTTTTAGAAATGCCACAAAAATTTGTGGCAATTTTCTTTCTTGCCACAAGTTAGATGATTGACAGCAAGCTCATGTCTGTATGTTAAATATGAAGCTACTGGCCAATGGTCAGCACAAAGACTGGAAATGGGAAAATGCTGTCATGGCTAAATAGAGGAGATGGATAATTATTATTAATTAGATAGTATTAATTTTATCTTCAGAGGTTTTGGTAGGTTTGGGCTCTAAGCCAAGTTAGCCGTTTGCTGGTGGTGGCTTCCCATTTAAAAACAACACCTGTATCATACTGCTTACTCTAGCAATCGCAGCTTTAGTGAAAGGAATAGCTGGAAGTCAGGCCCATAATTCACACAAGATAAGAAATAAGGTGGATATAATTCAGAAAAAAAGCTGCAGACTATGCATGTGATGAAAGATGAATGAATGGGACATTGTCTCAGTAATTTTTCAGTTTTTTTTTTTTGTTATGACAGAAGAAGCTGTGGTAGCCAGGGTCCCAGAACCGGGTGATTATACACCCTCCACAGCTTCTGGCATAATTTGATGCACATAGTTAAGCCCATTGTCTATTGGGTATGACAGTGTGTTGTGAACTGCTGAATTTGCTGTTTCAAGCCAGAAGATTTGGTTGTCCTTTTAGCCTCCGATTGTTGGTACAATGTGTTTTCAAAGTGCTGAGCGGGCTGTTTCATGCCAGTGGGGTCAGCTGTCCCATTAGCCAGTGATATTACAAAAACACTCATTAAGCTTTTATGTTCTTCTGGGCACTGTCGGCTTTGTGATTCTCCTCTCTCAGAGGCAAGTGATAAGAGTATTTTCTGCTGCTACCATTTATGTCTGCTTCTAACAGGGGAGGCTGCGTTCTCAAGGTTGGAAAAGGTCAGAATTGATGGAGGACTTCGATTGTTCTACTGCAGAGAAATCTGAGCTTCAGAAAAAATAAAACCAAAAAGCATGAGAAACTCACATAAATGTGTTTGAGGTTTCACAGTGAGGAAAGAAATGTGTATTTATTTCATCATGATTTGGTGAATTAAGATGAAATGTGAGGCTTGTGCTGGAAATGGTACATCAGGAGAACAACAGACACATGGACACAGACCTGTAAGGTTCAAAAGACACCCAAAGTGCCACTTTACTTAAATTTTCAAAGTTACAAATAAAAATTCACTTAGTTGACATGGTGAGATTTCAATTTTAAATCACTGAACATATCCAATGTTGGGAGGCAGAACAGAGCCTCTTCTCTGCACGCCCGACTTCATATGTCCTCCCAGCTCAGGAGCAGCTTCTTCCTCTAGTGTCCTTGCACAGTCTCAGCAGCCCTACTGACCAATTAGTAAAAGCATAGCTGGTTGAGACACCACAGATTTGGACTGTAGGCATTGCAGTTCGCTTTTCTACACTGCTATCGCTCTGCAATGCAACTTCCTACCTCCTGAGATTGGGAGAAGAACCAAAAAGACACTAGACAGCATCAACATAGCAACAAAGTATTGTAGCAGCCAAATAGGCATCACTTTCTGTTTGAGATGCATAGAGCTAGACCTGGCCAGGTTAATCTCTCTTTTACAGAAACACGATGAGAAACATGCAACAACAACGACAATACATCATTAATCTCATTGCTTCCTGGGCTTTCTGGGACATTCAAGATCAACGTTTAAATAATTTACAATCCTCCATAAAATAACAGAGAGAGGGGGAGCATCTCAGAGCCTGGGACCGTGTTGTGGAAACATCTTTGAACACTGGAAGGAGCCCAACGGTGGAACACAGAACATGAAAATGAATCGCTGATGGAGGTACAGGGAAGATAATCCACAATCTGGCCTTCCTGGAGGAAACATATTTACATCCAGTACATCAGCTAATGTATCTGGGCTCACAGACTTACCAGAGGCTCTGACATGGACATACAGAGATAGGAGAGAGGGACAGAACGACGGAAAGGAGGAGATAGAGGGAGTGATAGAGAAAATAGAGAAGTGAGTCCATGTTAGAAGAGGTTAAAGATTGCAAGTTGGGGGGAAGGCAGAAGCAGAAAGTGGACAGCTTGAGCAGATATCTGACAGGGTCTCGACAGTTGTTGGTGAAATCTAATAGGCTCTCTGTTTTCTGTCTGAGGAAAGAGCGAAACACTTGAAAAGGAAGAGGTCAGATGAGGTTCACTGAAGAGAGAGATATGGATAAGGGACAGGGATTAGAAGAGCAAGTTCAGGAGCCAAAAAAAATGGACTGCTGCCACGGTAACTGGAGGAGGAGACATTGGAATGGCTTCAGATCTGAGCTGAGTTAACGGAGTTTCCTGGTCGGCTGATGGCAGATTAAAATGGAGTGGAGCTACCAAACGTAGCCGATCTCGTCATCCTTATCATCTTCCTCGTCCTCATCGTCCTCAATGGCTCCTCTGGGGTGAATCCGGCCCCGTCTCTTCTTCTGCCGGCTCCGTCCGCTCTGTGATGGCTCCTCCTCCTGGTCATCGAGGAGAATGACTGCCCCGCCACTGCCAAAATCCCCCGATGTCTCCTGGTCCTCATCTGTAGGGAGACACAGACAGACAGATTAGAAGCTGCTGGCGATTGTGTGACATTGACAGTTCAAAATTAAAAAATATTTGGGTTTCAGACAGCTCCTTAGTCAAGTTATTTTTTTAAACTCAACAGCTATTGGATACCTGACTTTGATTCTGATATTTGTGGTTAGTCCAAATTAGCAAATGCTAATTTAGATGTGTTAGCATTTAGAGCCGCCAGATGGGCTATAGACTCTTAGTCTTGTTAGACTGACATCATTCCTCCACTCAACTCAACACAACACAACACAACACAACACAACACAGAGTCAAGGGGTTTCTTAACTAGCCAGCTTCGGTGGTGTCTGACTGAGCTCGGTTACATCAAATTACACCTGTAAACATTTTGACGTTAAATAAATGTTTTTTGGCACTAATGTGTAGCTAGAGTGTGAACAGGAGTCATTATCTCAGCTGCTGCCTCCAGCATTTTGTGAAATTGGGACCTTGAAATCCTTCTGAGCTTAGTTCAGAACAGCCCATTTACACCTGGGTACTCTGGTTGAATGGCGCTTGCAGTGTTAAAATCCGTTTGGTGTCCTTGTGTTTAGGCTATCGAGCGGCGTGCTGCAGCATTGCTACCTGTTTGTTCTATTCAAGGCCGAATGGGAGAACTCCAGGCTGCTCCAGCCTGAGGCCACTCAGCCAGAGTTAGATGAGCTTGTTAGACCGGAGACAAAGGACTGCTGCTGTCAGTGTGTGTGTGTGTGTGTGTGTGTGTGTGTGTGTGTGTGTGTGTGTGTGTGTGTGGTGACCAGAGAGACACCTCATCAATATTGGAAGCTGCAATTACTGGCTTTGGACTAGACTGGCATTCGAGTGAGCCGTAATCTGTGACTGCGAGTTGGCTGTTTGATTGGTAATCAGTATGTCTGCGTGGATTCTTTCTTGCTAATTATTGTTCGTTGTTGCAGTCAAATCCCATGGCCACTGATTTGCGGCAAAGTGCTTCTATTGGCTATTTGACCGTCCGCTTTGAATTTACTACAACACTGACAAACCGAAATATTTAATTATATATCTTCTTTGTCTAAATGCGTCTTCTTCGATGCCAACATCAGCCAGCAGTTCAAGAGCTTATTCTTAAGCGTGTAACTCAGTCTCTGCAACAAATTCATGTTTATAACAAATCTTTTGACGCTGCTCTCTGCTGACAAGTGTGATGGATTTTCCTACTTGACTTGCAAGGCACTGGTGTTTTATCAAAGCTACATGAGCAGAATATCAGAGGCAGATCAGACATATGACTGATATTAAACCAGCCAGACTGGCTCCAGAGGCATGCCTAATGTTATCTATTTCCTAAATGATCACTGATGCATAGATACCGGTAAAGATAAAGAGAGACACGGAGAGATACTGAGCATAGAAATAGAACAAAGTAGGAATTGTGGGGGTTCTCGTGTTTCAGTGGTACGTTATGTTTTAAAGAGAAGATCTACAGCCTTTCTTGTGTGTAGCAGCACCAGATTAAAAAAGGAGAGAGAACACAGATGTACAGCAGTCCACCTGGATCAAAGCACTAACTCTGAAAGACAGCAAGACAAATGGGAGCCAATAAGAGCAAACACAACAAAACCAAAACCATTGTGTAGCTGTAAGTGAACACGTGGGTGTGTGCATGTGTTAGTGTGTGTTGCGGTCTTACCGCAGTTGGGGTTGCCTTGTTTTCTGGAGCCAGCAATCTCATTGCCATATTTGTCCACACACCAACACTGGCCGGTGCTGCCGTGACACTGGGTTGATTTGAAGTATCCCTCCTCAGTACAACGAGGAATATAAGAGCCTAAAGATGGAGAGAGGACGGAGGAGAGGTTAGTGGATGATAGGAAAGACGAAGTAAAACAACAGAAAGGAAGGAAGGAGTGGGCAAAAGGTAAGTAAGAAAATGGGGATATAAAAGGGGTGGTAGAATCTGATCCCTCCTCAGCAGAGGTTGCGTGTCCTGTGTCCGACGTTCTTGTGTATTCACAGAAGGAGATCAACAATCAATTACTGCTGTGAAGGTTGCAGGACGACAACCATACATCCTGCTTAAAGGGAAGCAGTCACTTTCAGTAACACGCGCAAACAAAAACCCACACACACGGGGAAACACACACCTAGTTCTGTTACCTTCATCTGACCCAGACCAAGCTCATTTTTCATGCTGTTTTGTTGTGAGCTGAAGCACGGAACAATCTGCCCAGTGGGGACAGATGACACGCGTACAAAAATGTCAGGATGTGCTTTATGGTGTGAGTGCTGTATATGTAATGCTACTGATTTGTGTGTTTGTTAGCATTGCAGGTGGCCATGTTGGATCGTCAGACAGAGGTCAGTGACTGATAGCTGTCAATCATCCACACTGACCTATGAGGCTCTTCCTTCGACTCTGGTTCTGGATCCTGCTCTTCTCAGTTTGGCAGGGCAGTCCTACAAGCAGAGAACAAACAAAGTAGTTTAACTAATAGAGCTTGTTTTGTCTTTCTACCAACATTAACTTAAACAGCTCTTTCTCTGTCTCTATAGGTACTTCCCCATCCTCCTGAATAACCTCTGTCCTCACATATGGAGCGACGCCTGCGAGCTAGTTCAGGCAGTCAGTTCGAGCTGCACTGCTATACACACCTGACATGCCTCGCTCTCCATAATCACAAACCAAGCACACCCACCCAATCTGGCGGTCTATTTAGGCAGCAAAACTTCCCAGCTACCCCAGCATCCAACTGTGGGCCTAGATCAAAATCTAACTATGTTAAACTGCTGTAATAAACATTTTAAATGTTAGTTGTCTGACTGAACTACAACTAATTTTTCAGTCTGCCTGAATTCATTCTGTATCCTCCTCAATCCATCGTCCACGTAAAGGTTTAGCTTGTTAAGATGCACATCTTACTGGTACCAAGACAACTGGTTCCACTAATTGCAATATCTATTTATAAATATCTATTTATTTTTATCATTTTCATCAATTGCATTTCTTGTGTGAATTAGTCTCAAATTGCATTACTGTCATTTACATCTTTGCTATCTTATTATCAGCTTGTCAGTCATCTGTAAATCACTTTGAATTTCACAAACCTGTATGAAAAGTGCTATCCATATTCCTAACTAAAAATATATAAAATAAATATTTAAAAAAATGTGTTTAAATAAAGTTTGATAGATTGGTGCTTTTCATGTATCCATTGGTTTCTGTTCTCCTCAGCAAAGACTGAATACCTGCTTGATCATGTGATAATTGACATGCCTTGCAAGTAAGTCACCACAGTTTCTTATTCAGCCCTCTCCCCCTCCTCACCCTCAGGCTTCTGGAAACAGTAGCACCACTCGTTGTTAGAAAGCTTTCCATCTTTGAAGGAGTCACAGGAGTTGAAGAGGGGCTTCATGCACAGCTCATACTTGTCCAGGTAAATGGCACTCAGCTCTGACTGGTCCAGCAGGAGGTCAAAGTTCATGTCTAGTTTGTTGAACATCCAGCCCAGTGAGTCCTTACAGATGGGCAAGATGCTGGTGTCAAAGTCTAAAGGAGAAAAGACACCAAGAGGAAGAAGTGGTGAAGTGAACATTTTTCAAACTGCAGAATATGTCCAGGTCATTTTTCCAACACTCAGATTTGAGTGTGTGTGTGTGTGTGTGTGTGTGTGTGTGTGTGTGTGTGTGTGTGTGTGTGTGTGTGCAGTGGCAGAGCTGAGATATGTTCAAGCATGTTGACATTACAGAGAACAGAGCAGGGTCGCTGTCAACATCACCGCCAGCCCTCATGAGGACTGAAAAGCGTGGCTGTTCACACTCACATACACCAACACAAACACACACACACACACACACACACACACACACACACACACACACACACACTGTGGTAGGATGTACTCACGTCCAGTGGCAGAGTCGAAGCTGTCAGAGGATTTGAGGTCTCTGTTGGCATCGAGGTGGAGAACTCCAAACCAGTCCTTCAGTCTGGCAGCCAGACTGTGAAGCTCTGTGTCAGTGCAGGCTATACACACACACACACACACACACACACACACACACAACAAAGAAAAACACACACACACACAAAATAATGAGGAGAGGGGAAGCTGTCAATCTACAGCTGTCATCAGAGGACAAAAAAAAAAAAAAATGTCTTGCTCCTTATCAAACGCTCATTTCATTTCTGCTGTGTACTTTTCCTCTCTGTGTTCTCGCTTTTCTTTTTCTCATCCAACTCTTCTCCTTGAGTAAACACAGTGGAGTGATACCACATACTGACCTGCTGCTATCTCTTGACAGTTACCATAGGAACCCAATCTTATATTTATATGTACACACACATACAAATACAGTACACACTGGAGTTTCACCATTTAGTGTTCCTGTTTAAATTAATGATTTTATCCGTGTGGGAAACACGCTCCGTCACACACACACAACCAATGGGCAAAGGTTTGTTTGAAATCCCAAATGTTATCTTCCCCCTAGAGGAAAGACAAACTGATGTCTTGCAGTGAGAGGCCACTTGATCGTCGCAGTTTATCCTCTGTGGAGGATCTGTGTGTGTGTGTTTGTGTTTTTATGCATGATCACACACCTCTGCGCAAATAAAAAGAAAGCTGATTCAACAGCGTCAAGCAAGCTGATACTACTGTCAGTGCTACTACTCAAAGAGAGCACAAACTGAACGGTATATTTAATGATACCCCTAATTAAAAGTATAAACCAGCCTCTGTTGCTGCCCATCAAATCCCTCGTTCCGCCATCCCTGTGGGACTGACAAGGTCTGCCTGCAATTCAAGCAGACCTCTGCCTCTGCCTGTCTCCTTCTGCGCCTCTGTCTGTCAATCTCCGTCCTCCTTTCTCTTTCTCTCCTGCTTCTGATTGGCATATTTTTTTCCCATTCTGTTTCTTTTGAGAGCTTGATAAATGTGCCTGAAGGACAAGAGCCATTCTCCACCTCGTACTCAAGCTTTACACAGAAGGGGGTTGTTAATATTCCTGTGGCACACTTATTTTCAGAATTCAGAGGCAATTTCCGGCAACATATGTGACGGTTTTCGGTGTTCAAAGAGTCACGTCTAAATCCAGATCAGGATTTTAGGATTTTATCCTGAGAATGACTTCTAATTCTTGGATGTAGTGCTAGAAATCACAAAAGAAGGAAAAACCCTCTGTTACTAACATGCAAATACGCTGAATCCTATAGACACATCAGGCACAGACAGATAATCTCATCCAAAGTCTCTCTCTCTCTGACTCTCACACATACATACACACACACACACACACACACACACACACACACACACACACACACACACACACACACACACACAATGAATTACACACAGGTATTTACTCTAATAGAGAGAACAGAGCAGATTGGTCCCTACGTGAAGACCTAGACCACACTTTGCTGTCAGTGGATAAAGACGTCTGCAGCATGACATCAAAGGAGGTGCATGCACGGCACACACACGGGCATGTCCCACACACAAGCACAACACATACACACACAAACACCACAGAGCCAGTGGAATTTTTAAGCAGGTCTTTCCATACTACACTGCCATCTCTCTTATTAGAGGAGATTTTGTTGAATCATATTCCCCATTCTGTTGTCAAATCATGTCCTGAATCCTAGAAAGGATGCAAACATGTGCATACACACACAAAAACACACACGCATACATATTTTATAGTTATAGTTATAGTCTGGGATTGTGTCATTATGGAAGGTGCTATATAACAGAGAACGCCCAAGGTAAAAGACTGGATCTGCGGAGAGGACAAATAACATTTATCTGGGCTGGCTATCCATGTGACATTACCTCTGGAATCACAAGGTGGTGTGTTTGTGTTTGTGTGTGTGTGTGTGTGTGTGTGTGTGTGTGTGTGTGTGTGTGTGTGTGTGTGTGTGTGAGAGAGAGAGAGAGAGAGAGAGAGAGAGAGAGAAATATAACCCTTCAGGACCAGACAGATAACATTTCAGAGTGCTCTTCATTTCCACAGTCTGGAGCAGAGAAAAAGGGAGCAAAATACCAACAGCTAAACATTATCTGTCTTCAATTAAATCCGTCCTGTGGCAGAAGTGTAGCACATTGCTCTTGCTTTATCCCTCATGCTCATTTATTTGACCGTTCTTCATCCCCACAGCAAGTCTTACTCTTATTGTCTTCCTTTCTGTTCCCACTCCCACACTTTGAAGCACTCTCTGCTTTTGTGATTCTTTTGTTGCCTTTGAGGAATTCTTGCTCATTCCCCCTATTGCCTGTTCATTTGCAATCTCTCTTTCTCTCTCTCTCTCTCTCCCTCCCTCCCAGCACTGTTTGCTCAGATTCAATAGAAGCCACTTACCTGGCTGTTCCTAACTCAGTTTCTCTTAATACTTAGAAGACCACTTTTCCCTGCTCTTCTATTTCTTTTTCTCACCTAAATTGCTTTGAATGCTTCATTTCCCATCTCTCTCCTAGCACATCTCCCTATAGAGACCAACGATTTAAGTGTTTCTGTTGTTCCCTTTGATATCCACTTATTATGAACCTCTTCTCTTTCTTTCACTTTTTCCACATTTGACGCCACTGCTCTCTCCATCTTTTCCTCTCAAGTTTCTTGGACTTTGCACTACGGCCCACTATGAGTCTCGATGGATCCCTCTTATCTTTATCTCTCTCTCTCAGTGCAACTCAAATTGTTTCGGACAGGCCCGACACTGCTGCCTGTGTTAGGAGTCCTTTTGTTGGGCAATGAGTCAGAAAGCTGGAGCTGAAAACATTCATGCGCCAAAGGACACAACACACAGAGATAAAATGGCCTGTTAACCATTTCTCTCTCTCTCTCTCTCTCTCTCTCTCTCTCTGTCTTTCCAAGCCACAGCAGGGTCAGGCAGACTTATATATGTCAGACACACAAACAACATCAAAGCCTTTTCCACGGGCAGTTACAAAGATTACAATGTTACGTCAGAACTGGGTTTGATGTGAGGCTCAACAAGTGATGTTGCTGCTGTCAGTAGAAAACCTGATCAAGATACTCAAGTTTGACTTTGGGTTTTTCGATGGCTGGAGCAGAGGTTGCTCTTACTCTTAAACCTGAATCTTGAGGCACATTTGCTCACTATGATTTTCTTTTTATATAGTTTGACTAATTTCCTACTCCAAGACGCTTGATAAGCACAAGTGCCATTTAGTATTTAACTATTCTCCAGTCAGTCAATCAGTCATTTTGGTCATTTTGTTGTTTCAACTGGCTGTACAGGCCAAAGAAAACATGGTACACAGATATTTTAACAAAAGCTACGGGCTCAGAGGTGCTTTGAGCTAAATGCAAATGTTATCAAGCTAACGCACTGATGTTTAGCAGATCTAATAATTAGCATATTCACCATCTTTAGCGTGTCAGCATGCTAACATTTACACAATTGGCTTTGACTTGAGGATGGGGCTACATTAAAATTGGATCACCAAAGTCATTAGGATTCATCCCCTGAGGACTATCATGGATATCAAAACTTCATGCCAATCCATGCTATAGTTGTTAAAGTATTTTAGTCTGGATCAAAGTGGTGGACCGACAGACTAATCAACCGGTGTTGCCATCCACAGAACCATAAAAAACATTTTGGACTTTCCAAAGCTGCTTTTCAAGTATTGTACACTGAATCAGATGTTCCCAGTCTGGAAGCTGATATTCCTGCAAGAAGTTACAAGATAAATCTTAGGGGGTCATGAGATGATTAACAGGATATGGAAAGGGGGAAAACATAGGTCAAATCATTGCTTTTTTTTCTTTTAAAATGCTGATAGTTTTACCTCTGCAGGCCTAAAAACATTGTTTAAATCAAACAACCAACAAACTGAAAAAGGAAAATCCCTCTAGACCTGCTCACAACTAAAAGACATATTATGCAACATGTGATAAGGGGCTTAAATTAGACATTGCTTAATTTTAAGGGGTCATATGGCAAAAAGATTGGAAACCACGACACTGAAGGAACAATTTGTCTGGCTGATTATGCAAAGCCTCCACCATTATTCATTTTACAAAATGCGTTTCCATTATTAATTAACTTTTTGTAGACATATCTCACGTTATGCTCAATGAAGCAGATATTAATTTAGCTATATTTTTAATTAATTTGGCTATTCTTCAATTTATAGCAATTTTTTTGTAATGCATTCAATTCTCAAAAGGCTTACTCTTTTTAATGTGATACTGCCAAAAACACTACGGCCCGTGCGTAGAATGAAAGAGGCCCTTTGAAACGATAACTGATGCAACAGTTGTGTAAAACAGAGAGTAAACCCACCTTGTCACTATGGCAACCATCTGTAACTACTCATGACTCTTCCTGTGTTACCGAAAAAAACCTAAACATTCTGCAGCAAGAACATGAGAAAGAAACAAAGTTGATGACTGGCACCTTATCAGATTCAACGGACTGGAGGAACTTGCTGTGATTCTTTTGTGTTTTAGCAGCAACTATAACTGTAAATTATAAATAAAAATACTGCTATCAGAACAGCTAGAAGCCTTTGGTTAAGAAGCTGCCATGTCAGATCTGAGAGAGAAATTCTTCTCTCCCCTTCAAATATGAAAACTGCTGTATCCTTAAGCCAAACAGCTACTTCCTAATTGTTCCAGCTGATATGATCATATCCACAGAGATACAGGGCTAAAGTTGCCAGAACTGATGTTATTGGCTCCACTTCCAAACCATCACAGATCGTCTGAACTTTTAGCCGGCATGAAGTGGTAGCAGACAGAAGAAGCTGAATCGATCAGAGTTGCGTCAAATATCAAACACTGAATCATGGCTGGGAATGTACTTTTTATCCTTCTTCCTTCCTCTCTCCTGCACTCTCACCCAACACTTCCTTACTTCTGCTGTCTTTCATGTCTGCAAACTCAAATCAGTAGAAACTGGCAGCAAAAAAAACCCCACAAGCCATTGTTTTTCACAGACTGACGCACACAAACTACCAGGTGTATGTGAAAAAGTAATGCTATGCGATGATT